ACCCTAAAGTCTGTTAAACGTTTCCCAACAACAAAAACCCTACTATAACATCTTTATCTAATAGTACACTAAACAAAGAAAAACTTTATCAAATGACGTAGCACGAGAAGTGATAACATAACAATCGAAATCAACTCTCGACTTGGAAGCTGATTGTTTTATACACAGCTTAACAACGTTAGCAAAGCTGCGACAGCCGGTTGACGCAATAGCCACAGATTTGCATAAAATAACCAAGACTTTAAGCTCCAAAATAGTAGTTTCTACAACAATAAATTGATACGCAAGTGCTTTGCGGTATATACGATAAATTTAGAATGTTGCCGTTAGGTAGTCTGGTTAAATTTAACAAAAGGTTTCAAGAAGTTTAAATATTTTTACTAGTGTTTATACTGCCAAATTTAACGTGCTTATAATACACTGAAACTCCTGTATAACGAATTCCTCTATAACGAAAATTCAGCGTAACAAACAGCTTTCAAGTCCCTGACCAACACACATCAAAACAAATTATTGTAGCCGAAAATGGAGGTGAAAACCAGTGTCAGACTCAAGTCATTCGTTACATAATACAAAAGTTTCACTTTATACTATTTATAATAGCCCCAACCTTTCGTAAAATTTAAGCTTTAGCGCAGTGGTTGCGGCGCCACTTGCTACTCGGAAGGACCTTGGTTCGACCCCCGCCTCCGCCCAACCCAGGCGCATTGAGGAATGGGTAGTGCTGGAAGCACGGGGACTAGGCCCATCATCACTTGGCCAACACAGGTGTATGATAGACAAGCCATAAGTCCTATAGAGCACCTCACCCACGAACCAGTGATGCGGTGAACAGTGAAAACTGGGAAGAGGCCCAATTATGGGAAACATCATAAACCAAGGATAGCTCCGGTAAACAACAAAGAAGAACTAGAACAATCCAGGAACATACACGCAGTACCTCAATGCAATTCGTCGGCATCAACATCATATAATCTAACTACATCTACATATCACCGACCATAAATTGTAATTGTATAGCGTAGAAAATATGTTAATAAACCTAAGCCTGAAAAAACAAGCAAGGCTCACCCTTAATACCAAATGAACTAATGCTAAAGTTGAAAGAAAACAGCTGAAAATGTGGTTTATATCTACTTTGGACATGATTATATTTAGAATGTAGGCATAACCTAATAATCCTTAACCTCACTTCTTAAAACAAGCTCAGAAAGCTAATTTCACTTTCTCTACTACAAATAAATCTAGTTAGTTTGTAGATTTTGTGTTGAGAGACACAAAAACTACATTTGGTATCTTATTTTGAAATTTTTAAAATTTAAATGCCTAAACTATAAAAAATAAATTATTTTCAATAACAACTGTACAACTGTTATTTAGGTAACAAAAAAGATACAATTCACTTTCCAATAACTTTTCCAAAATATTTTTTAAAAATTATATAAATTTAGGTATACCTTACGGCTAAACTCGCCTTACGACAACAGTTGTTTTACCTATTGACAGCATTTTTGTCGCCATTTCCAAAATTGTCTTTTCACCATAATTAATATAATTAAAATAACAAAAAAGTTTAAAGGAAATAGATTTAAGAACGGTGGAAAGAAGACGCGTGACGTCAGGATTCCCTTTCAACCGTGATCAGATGACATCGTAAACGCAACTACTGTTGAGATGATACGAGCAAAGTGTATGGGTTTGATACCGCAAAGACATTACAATAACTGTTTGTTTTTGTTTGTCGTGCAAGAACATATTATACTTGTTTAGTACCTTTTATAGAGCCTGTCAAGCTCAAGAAATCTAGCTGTTAAAAGACACAACCGGTCAAAAAATTAATAGAACAGTAAACGTCAATGTAAGAAATTGTCAAAAATGCAAGTCTGCACACTTTTTAAACACAAAAATCAATTCAACATACTTTTTGACCAAAAAACACAGTTTAAAAGTAGAAAAATACAATTTATGCCACAAAATACAATTTTTTAAAAACGTCCTACAACAAAATCACGATGCAAATAAATCCAAAACTTTTAAAAACTCGACGACAGTTTAATGAAAGTAATCCGATATGAACTATAACAATGATATCAAAAAACAATAGACTTATATGTATTATAATATCGTGTTTTTCCGACTGTCAACCCACTTTTTGCACTTTTATAAAGACAGGAGTCAATTTCATGTAAAATATATTGTGAAAATATTTAACCCTATTAAAAAGTTTTAAAATCATAATACAGACCTTGTAAAGAAAGTTGAGTTCACGTTACCAAAACTAAAAAAAAATAGCGCTTTATATCGAGGAGGCCACTAGGCCCGCCCGGTCCTTTACAGATCAAGTGGAGGCCATAACCAACTCTTTAATAACTTTTTTCTAAAATAAGGTCACAATGCTTATTTATCATAAGCCCTTATAAGGCTCAATCGGCCCAATAACTAGACCTTTTCATTTTAAATCTTGACTAAAACTCTAAAAAACAATGACGTTATCAAAATAATGAAAAACGCCGTTTCAAACCCATATTGATTACCAATACCGTGTGATTTCCACATAACTAACCGTTGTTTTTAAAAGTCTAAACTCTCTCAAACAATGACTAATCTACCCTCAAAATAACCCTACTCTCTACCCTTCCCAATCCACTCTCACTACTTTTAAAAACATTTTACTGCAGTAGAAACAACTGTCACTCATTTAACGCTGTAAAAACAACTGTCACACATTTAGCGCAGTAGAAACTGCTGTCAAACAGTTACCACGGTAGAAACAGCTATCATAGCAAAACCGAGTAAATCGAACGTAATTTACACGGCTATTACGTCGCTTTCGCTGCTTTTATTGACCGTTCCGGAAACTTCATAACTTTGTCTTTTGTGTATAGGTTTTGGAGGGAGAGGGACCTCGTAGTTAGCACGGTAAGCGCAACGCGTGTGAAAAGTCGAAGCGGAAATAAAAATTAGGAAGATGTGCTGAACGCGTTTACCGCGCTGTAACTTATTGTATGTGCTGGTAAACAAAAAGGTTACTTATGGTAATGTGAACACAGAAAAAGTATAGAAATTTCGTAGTACTTTCAGTAAAATAAATTTAGGTTTACCTTATTATAACTTTGAAAAACGTTTTAAATTAGTTTTTTACTTAACACAACACGATATATCGTATTTTACACAGTAAACCGATAAAAATTTTTAAAACTCATATCTAAACAAAAGTAAACGTTTTGTAAGAGTCACAAATTTATGACGTTCCAAAGCCAATACATTTCATAAAAACGTTGCGGTTGCAGCCAAAATAAAACAATACATCACTCGGGGGTGATAACCTGTCTTCTGTCAAAAATAAATGTAAAATAAACAGCTATATGACGCACATTCAGTTATTTTTAAAATTGATTTTAAAACCTTTTTATTCAATTTTTTGAATTCATTTTACAACTGTTCGCTGTGGTATTGATTTCGCTTACAGTACAGCAAGTTCTACTATACTCCTTAAGGTCTAAAATTGCAAACTATGGCCAAAAATTATCACAAAAATAATTTTAAAAAGAGAATATTAAGCCTAAAACAGCCTGAAACACCTTAACAACAAGCTTGAAACAAAAATAGCTCCACGATAGTTACAGTACAGACACTCACATAACCCAATTGAACAAACAATTACATCAAAGTAAAATACAATTTATTCCGCGAACCATAATTTCCATTTAATGCCAACATGATAATTACCATGTAAAAGCAACCATATAATGACCATCAGCTAATACCAAAATTGGCAAAACCAGTCCAAAAGTTGCATGATTCTGAAGCGATTCGTTGCGTTTAATCCGTCGCAAAACAATTTCGAAGGCTTTGCGCGAGGCCCTGCGGCTTACAGCGAACGGGATCGGCGATGGTCATTATACGACTACTGTGTAATCCGTTCCTCATGCTAACATCAAAGATGTTTTGGGAAATGAGAGACGCGCAGGAGCTCGTTCCTTTTTTTGTTGCACAAGGTTATTGTTTCTGGTTTGTGTATTTGGATGTTACAGTAGGTGGGGATGAACAAATATTATGCTACAGAAAATTAAAAAGCTTTCCAAGGAAATAGCTTAGCTCTAAAAATATTAAACTTCGAAATGATAAAAGACCTTTAGTTAAACTGGCTATTGTTGAACCCAAATGCCATAGATTCGGACTACTAATGAAGTCCTACAGGTATAAACTAGGTAATAATACCTCAACTGTCGACCCACGAATATTTTATAAAACAATTTACCACCGATAAACAAGACAACTCAATAACTGCTCAGCACTCTGCTGAGTACGTGTTGATCTTCTTCGTTCACCGTACTCGGTTTTCTGCTGCAGAATGCCAAACCTGGCTTGTTGTCGTTCTAGGACTCAGCACGATCGGAGATGTATTTGGTAATGCTTAGACCTACTACAGACCAATAACCAATATTTATGTAAAATTGTATTATCCCATGTTAAAATTTACACAAAATTTTAATATTTGATAACGATATTGTTAAATCAACTGTCTTCAATGTTCTTTCACTCTCCGTCTTTTTCGCATCTGTTTTTAAATATTAAGGTCAATAATATGGCCAAACTCATGGTGAAATACAAACTTTTAGAATTTTAATTACAATCCTTATCTAAGACTTCAGTTTCAAAGTGAAGTTGGTCATATAAACCAAATAATAATAAAACAAACTTGAAATTTTAAAACTGTATCAACTAGTATAATTTTAAAACTGATTTTTGTGTTTTATGCCACTTATTTACACTATAAGTTCCCTTTCGTCGCCCTATAATAATATAGAGCATTCAGATATGCGAGTCACGTTTATTTACATGTTGATAGCCCAAGTAATTTCTGATTTCTGCTCGGAACAATTTCGAAAATACCACTGATAAGACCCATCTCATAAGAAGCAAAACAACGGCCAAAACATATTATTGTTGTGTTGCGGCGATCACTCTATCTCTACTGTTCGATTAAATTTTAAAAAATGGCTGTCAACTCGCATTACTTGAGTACGGACAGAGGTGTGATCAAGATTATACAAATCATTCTCGGATTTGTGGTGTGTTCGGTTTTGTGCGCTAACTGGTGAGTCAACTGATTTTTTTTTGATAATTTTAAACTGGTCTTTTTGATAAGTTTTTAAAACCTTTTTTAATCATCAAAATAGACTCTTCTATGAATTACGGTTAGATAATAAATGTGACAGGCAAAGCCAACTTTCAAGCCTTGGGCTGAAATTTTAAACATACGACAAAATCTAGCCCAAGTTTGTTTCAAAATTTAAACTTACAATTCAAATTCGCCTCAGGGGGAAATACTCTTTCAGTAAAAATGGCTTTGGATATATCTATATATTAATACAATGATACGTTTAATATTTGATACTTTAACTTTTTTTTAATTTTTAGGTATGGCGGAGCATCTTGCTTTGGCGAAGGCCGTATTGGCTTCGTCAGTGGACTTAACTTTGTCGCCCTGATCATCAATATTAGTAAGTTCTTTAACTTTTAAAACCACAATCATTTTCAAGTTTTTCATTTCTATTAACATTGTAAATAACACGTACTTGAACCTAACACTAAACGTGTAAAACTAGCCAACACAATATAATCATTCAATGACACAATAGAAAACCTTACCATACCTAAACTCATACTTTTCAGTTTTGTTCCTTCTGAATCTCTGCGAATTCTCGATGCCAAAGCTCGAGAGTCTGTACAACATGATCATGACCTTGATGTTTGTCGTCGCTGCCGTTCTGTTCATCTGGTACATGATCCAATGGGGCGCTTTTGGTATCTGGATGATTGTGACAGCCATCATCGTGGTTGTCATGGGTTTGGCCTTCATGGTGGATGCTAACGCATCTCGTCATCAACATCAAGACCACATTCCCATCTGAATATCTTAAAGTTTCAAGTTTGTATGTAGAAAGACTGCTTGTTTTCGTACTGTAAATATGTACTGTAATTATACTTGTGTCAATAAAGAATAACCGTGTAGAAAGGATAGTGTATTTTACTTTTTTATATGTGTAGATACAACGTAACATAAAAACTGTATGAAATAAATAAATAAAATAATACTAAATTAGAGATCTATATCGTGTACATCGTTCAGAACTTTCAGAAGCCCACCAATGTTCATTGACAACGTGTTATGTCGGTTGATTCTCTCCAAATTCCCTCGTAATCGGTTGATAAAGCCATTAAAACTATCGACCAACCCTCCGTAACTATAATTGACTTGCTTTTTAAGCACCGTGACCTGAAATTTACTGTTACATAAACAGAAAAGTTAAAAAACTTAAAGTATAAACAATTAACCTATTATAATATAAAAAGAAAAAAATTGTAATCCTTAACAGTTGACCTACTACAATATCAATTATCGAAAAAACAACTCGACGTACCTTGTACTTCTTATCAAACATCATTTTCTTTTCTACTGCACAATCTCCATGAAGCTCTGTTATGACAACACTAGTATTTACAGATGTTTCGATGGCCTTTTCTTGATACTCCCTTTCTTCCACAGTGAAAGAAACAGAAGATAAGCTTCGTAACGTCCTTTGAACTGCTTCTACATTTTGGCACTCTTTTAAGTACCGATATATACACAAAATAGCACAGGTTTCCGATGATAACCACTCAATAAAAATCTGAATTTGAAATTATTTTAAGTACAGTAAAATACGCCAGACATTTCTTCTTTAAATATAGAACATATTACCCATCCAAGTTTAAAATTTACATTTTCGGGAAAATCCAGTTTAATTAACGTAGTCAAAAGTAATGTCAGTGGATTCCAAAATTCATCGTTATCACTAAAAACTCGCATTTTTATTATTTAACACACATAAATGTCATTTTAAGTTTGAAACACTATTAAAATCAACTAACTATTATAAATCAAGATCGACTAATATATAAACATAGACTTACTACTCTCCTTGACGAAAACAAACAAGCAGAGCCAGCAGAACATTCAGTAGCCTTTCATCTGATTCCATCAGAACTTCTACAAACCCTTCAGCTGTTCCAAAGTCATCTATTAAAGTTGTCAACACTTTATGAAGTATATCATTTGACACAACACCAGCTCCACATAATGTTAACAATGAACTCCAGTATGGTAAAGCTGTCTCTAACGTCCACCGTGAACATTGAGCTGAAGTAAAAGTTGAAAGTCCACCAAACCATTTATGCGCTAAAATATTGTTGGTTTGCAGTTAATTATTACGATAAAATATATTGTGAAGCCTATTTTTATATTTTTAAATAACCTACAATACCCTTATTTTACTTTTAAACATATCTGTTTTAGCGATTTTACATGTTTATTATCTTCAGTGACGTTTCTCGATTCATATTCGCTTTTCACCAAATTCCTTCTCTTTTTTTGTAATTCTCTTGCACGAAGCTTGTCAAAGTTCGGAAATTTCTCGTTTGATTTCGCAATCTGCTACTTTTTTGTTTTACAATAGGGCCGGCCGACTATATTGACCCGTCTGACAACAAAAGGCGTCAAACAAGCCGATCGAATCATCCTCAAATCACATAAACACAAAGACTAACTTTGTGAATAAATTTAGAAGATGTACGTAATTCAAAAAACCTTTAAAACACGTTTAGTCTCTCTTTAGCATCAAGAAAATAAAGATGAATAAAAGAAATGCATACCTGTAGCAAACGTGACTTTCCTTTGCAAAGATTCGACGAGAGATTTCACTAAACCTTTGCAGAATACATTATTGTTATTCCTTGTATAATTTAAGCCATCCCAAAACTTAAAACAATATTGTTCTATCTTTGACAATGCAGCTCGTCTTTTTGCACTGTCAGTTTGAGTAATGAAATAGTCTTTTCCTGTCAATTTTACAATTTCTTCCTGTATGAAGTCCAAACCACGATCTGACATCAAATAGACGAACAACGTATTTGTAACTTAATTTTGAATATATACTTTAAAGAATTATTCCAATACCAAAAATAAATTACATACGTAGCTTTGTAACTAATGCCAGCCAATGTTCTTAGAAGTTTAATTTAAAAATTTAATTATACCTTTCGTAAAACGGTTAACAACAATGAAAAGGTTCAACAATGCACAGAACGGTGCGAAATACTCCAAAAAGCAAGAAAATAGAAAGTGATCAGCAAAAACAAGTAATTCCCAGCTTATTCTTCTTCTTCCTCCTCGTCGTCATCTTCAAAGTCTTCGGCGTCATAGTCGAAGCCATCGTCATCATCGGCGATCTCTCCGGTGTAGTACAAGATGGCGTTGTCGACCAACGTGTCTCTGATGGTCTGTCCAATTTCGAAGTCGGCGTTCAACAATTCAGCTTCATCTTCTGGCAAGTCTTCGCTGACCTCAGTGTGGGCAGGGCTGAACAGGTTGAAGAAGCTCTCCTTGTCGACCTATAATGATACTGATTAGTAAATGTGACACAAATTACTGTTAGAAGCACAGCAAATTATATTAGCCAAAAGAAAAGACCCAGCTCACTATTACTACACCTAAACCACGATTAACATTTAAGACCACACAACTCATACGCTAAACTAACAGTTTTAACCGCAATACGACCAGCACTTTGGCCCTTCTTTTGCTTCTTTTTGACAACCTTTTGTGTGACGTTTTTGCCTTCCTTCCAGTCGATCTTGCATCTGAAAATAAGTACATCAGTATAAAAAGAAAAGACAGTTTATCTATCAAATAATATTTAAAAACCACTTCAAAAATATTATTATAGAAAAAATAACAACAACATACTGGTTGGTCTTGATAACACTAGGTCCATCGTACAACACCTTCTGTTCAAAGCCATTTGGTCCAATGGAAAGAGTGTATTCTTTCTTCAGTTCGGTGTTAGTGAAGTAAGGGTTCTCTTCGAAGACGAATGTGATGCTGAAACCAGCTGGGTCAGAAGCAATATCAGCCTTGATGTCCTTCAAGTGCTTCAATACTGGCTCATCATCTTCAGTGATCATCTCACCAACTTGTGGGCAGTTCTTCAACACATTCAACCAGAAGTTTGGAATGCCTTTAACTTTCTCACCACCATTCACTGGAGCAGAGTTTTCAAACTTCTGAAAAACCAAAGTTATTCAAATTAGATAACACAACTTGTACAAAGTATAATAATTTAAACATACAGCAGTGGCTTCCTCGTCAAGGTATGTCAAAAGCTTTTCGCGGCTAACTTCTTCGCTCGTGGGTTCGTAAGTTCCGTCAACGATTTGGGTACGCTAAAAGATCAGTTATTAAAACAAGTCTTCTTCACCATAAAATATAACACCTATATGTTAATTCCAGACACAAATCAAACCTCTGTATACCTAAACGCTCAAATAAAATCAAAAACCTTACCTTCGCGTTGATTTTGTCGTACTTGCTTCGGAACTCAACTTCCAATTGGTGCACACGCTCGTAGAATTCAGCCTGAACATCAATGATGTCCAAGTGAAGACCCTTCAAAGCTTGAGCACGGTTCCTCACCTCAATTGGAGCATTGATAAGGTAATCTGGAGGATTTTGGGCCTCGAGATCGCCAGCTCCAGCAAGGATTTGAGCCAAAGAAGCCATGTTAAACGTGTAACCCTAAAACATATTGTTTTAATATACATAATAACGTTTTGGCAATAAAAACTTCAAACAATCATAACGTAAAAATAGAAGACTAAAGTTACATCTTATATCCTCCCAATACGACACCGGTTAGATACAAAATATTACTATGCGTCGTAAACAAGATGTCAAATATTAATTTCGCAAAATATTTCCAAAAACAAACGAAAAACAATTGGATTCTCGCAGTAAAACAACAATATTCTCCATGAAAACACTTGAAATTAGGTACAAAAATAGGAACCGTCCCACAGAAAGAAATAAACGAGGCAGGGCCGTGTCACAAGACTAAACAAAAGGATCGGTAACCCGAGCTGATGTCCATTAAAACTCTCGAAACGGCCGAATGAATCTCGACAAAAAGGTTCCCGACAGCCGGCTGGTAACAAACTTTGAATCCGATAACAAAAGAACGTATTGTAGATCCCCGCCCATTTCGCCCGTTGCGAGCAACAAGCTTTCCGCAACGCATTTTTTTTTCTTTTTTTACCGTAAATGTGGCCTTCTTTTGTTTTCGTTCCAGGACGCAACTCATGGTAAGATGAGTAAGGTTTTGAGCGGGAACATTTAGCAAGTAGGCTCAAATATATATTCTTTATAAATAGTATAAAATATATCTTAATTTGGTATCAGACTATCTGTAAAATAAAGTAAAGAGATACAATGTTTTACTATTAGATCCATTCCCTTTAACTGCACGGTGCAGGTGCTAAAATATTAAACAGCATAGAAAAAAATTGTCGAGACGACCCTAACAGAGTCAAATGACTGTCTTCCAAAAAACTGACTGTCATTTTAAACAGATAAGAGCCGTTTTTTGAGTTCAAACTTCATACAAGGACACCAAATTGATACGAAAAATCAGACAGACGATTTTGATGAATCACTTTAAATTTCAAGTCACTAATATTACGAAACACTTCCTGGCTATTCCCTCCACTTTTTAAAATTACCACTTCATCCGAGTTTGAGTAGCTTCTGAATGTAAGAGCATATAGGATTGACGAAGTAGTAAAATACAAAAGCTTGACCGACTGAAAGTCGAACAAGCGACACATGTATAACTAAACAAGATGCTTCACTTTTCAAATGAAAATGCAAATCATGGACAGCCCGTGATAATATTTAATATTATTATCGTGTCTAATCGTAACACCTATGAAAGCGTTCTACTTTTCCTTTATCTAGTACAAAAGTAATATAAAGCCAGTGTTACTCTTGCAAATTGCACGAAAGCCGTATATAATATGTTTTTTATACTCAAGCCCTGCAGTAAAACAAGACTTCGCATGCACCAAATCTTACAATGAAATAACATTTGTTAGAAATAACTCAATTATCTGACAGTAATACATAAGATAACATAAAATTATAATAAAAAACGTCAAACGTTACTGAAGCCAGGTAGCTAGATATATTAACCGGAGTATTTTTGAGCCATTTACTTTAATCCAAGTTTGGTCGGGATTATTGAATACGGATTAAAAGTTAACCAGATGGCTGGAAGATAACACTTTTGTTATCCACTATTACTAATTCACACGTCCTCGAAAGGAAATGTGAGTAAACGAAAATTGAGCTGTCATTCATGTGTTCCGGTCCGAATGACGTTCGATTTTTGGGAATAGCTAGCTAATTTATAACTTAGTTTCATGTATACATTAAGCGTAATTTGTGTTACATTTCGGAAGTACCAACTGTTTTGCAAAAGCTACGCCACACTTTTTTAAAATTGTAATAATAGTTCAATTTCCAATGATTTATTTCAAAACGTTTTGACACGATTTATAAAAACTTTCTGACAAAATAATAGGATTAAAACAATTATAAAAACAAGGTTCTAATGTGGTCCAAAAAAGTTTGTGGGCCGATTTTAGGATGGAAGTGTCTGGAGCGATTTGGAGGAAGAAACACAGTATTGGGGGAGAGGGGTGAATACTATAAATAACGTTAAGATAATAACTAAAAAATACAATTACTATGGAAAACTCTTTATTTATTTAAATTATAATGATAAAAATTGGAGGGGGGGGGGATAAAAACAGAAAACAAAAGAGGAAGCAAAAGAAAAAGCAAGGGACACAAATTGTTTGATGAACCCGGTTGACAAAACTTTCGTTTATTCTTTACAGAATGTCACATCGTTGTTTTTTCTTCTTTTTCTGTTGCAGTGCCGCTTGTGTTGCCTTCTCGAAGACTTCACGGATACCCTGAAACAAAATTCGCATTAACATAGGGAAAAATCAATTAATTTGCTAATTAGTGCACAAAAAACTCCCAATATTGTTTCATGATAACAAAAAACAATGATTTATTAGTAACATGAAGTTTTGATTTTTAAACTATAATTGTATGGCCAAAAAGCAAAAACATAAAGAACTATTGTATACTTTTCATAAAATAACCCTTTCGTATCTAGTCGTTCTACAAACTTACTGACCAAATATCTAAAGAGTAACCCAAATCAGTGACAGTTACTTTATTACTACGTGTACTTGCTGCTAAACTACTAATTACTGCGTTACCTTACTCTACTTCTCTAATACATATTAGACTTCAAAACTCAGCATACCTCCTTAGTTTTGGCAGAACATTCGAGATATGCGAAAGCGCCGATCTGGTCGGCAATAGCCTTGGCCTGTTCAGTCTTGACAGGCTCCTGTTTGTTTCTGGCAAGGTCTCTGATGGTTTGTGAATCTGTTCGCAAGTCCTTCTTATTCCCCACCAAAATTATCGGCACGTTTGGACAGAAGTGACGTACCTAAAATAAACATCATATATAAAATATTGTAAAGTATTCATAAAATATGATCTAAATAAGACTGTATCAGCTATGAACTACAAAACAGAAAAGCTTTCAAATGAAAACGACAAAGTCTTAATTTTTTACAATGAAACGAAAGAAAATTTAAAAAAATATTAAAGAAATTTAACAACAGCCAGGGCCGGGCGCGAGGGGAGGGGGACGGGTACCCCCCTCCCCCCCCAGAAAAAAATTTTTCGAAAAAAATTTGAACGTGGTCCCCCCTGTAAATTTTTGGGAAAAAAGTTTTCGCAAAAAATCGGCACAGCTATCTTGGACCCCTGCCTCCAGACCAAAAGTCCCGCCCGGCCCTGACAACAGCCCAATTTTGTCGAAACTAAAACTAGTTGAATGTTACCTAAACCTCAGATAAAAAAAGTGAAACTTACTTCTGGAGTCCACTTTTCAGGTATGTTATCCAGCGAATCAGGCGAGTCAATACTAAAACACATTAAAATTACATCTGTGTCTGGATAACTGAGAGGTCGTAGTCTGTCGTAATCTTCTTGGCCGGCAGTATCCCAAAGAGCAAGCTCAACCTACAAAAATATTATTAGCTATAGTATCAACCAAAAAGTAATTTAAATCAATTTCTTTTTACAATATTGCTGTAACAAACATAGTAAATAATCTAAGAATAAACAGCATTTCAAACTTATATTAGAAAAAGAGATTGAGTATTAACTTCAAAACACAGCAATTTTACAAAATTCCACCCATTTTAATGTTCTTTACTGATACCTAAAGCTCCAGTCAAAAAAGAAAAGATGCTTACCTGCTTTCCATCAACTTCAATGTCAGCGACGTAGTTTTCAAAGACAGTAGGCACATATACATCTGGGAACTGATCCTTGCTGAAGACGATCAACAGACAAGTTTTACCACAGGCACCATCTCCGACGATAACTAGCTTCTTACGAATGGCTGCCATTGATCTTGGCGCCAAGTGCTGAAAAAGCAAAGTTTAGATATTGGAATGTAATACAAGGGTTTCACGTGATGCATTAACGCGATTTCAATATGATAATGTGAGAATGCAGTTTATCAAATTTTTATAGAAATATTAGACTAAAATGAACAAAAAAATGAAAAAGACACCAAACAAGAGCGCCCAGAAAAGGTAATATCCCCAAAACACAAAAATAAAACCTCCGCCAAGTCCGAAATCTAAAATAAAAATAAAACCAGAATTCCGGACAAAACTCACTGTAAATTTTGACTCAAAAACGTCAAAATTTCGGAAAAATCAGGAAAACTGAGCCCTCAGAACGGGGAAGGAACGCCGAAAGAAGACAAGACGTTCTCCCCCTTCGACCTCTTTGTCCCCCCAACTTTGCAAGCAAGACGACAGCAAAAAATACGGGCGAATGGAGGAACGAACACGAAAAAGCGACGCACGCGGAGAAAAGCGAGGGAAAAACGGATCGCATCGCTTGGGTCCCGCCGCGAAATTAATCAGCGCTTGGCGTACCGTCCACGAGAAAACAAAAATTAATTCGGATATTTGCGGCACGTTTTTGAGGATCTTTTGAGGGTTTGTAGTATTTTTGAAGGTTCCAAATATTAAACAATGCTATTGAAAATAGAAAATGTAAGGGATGTAACGGAATACCGGCGGTTTTTAAAGGTTTTTCATAACAATCAGAAAAACATGACACAAACCACGTGAAAAAACATAGCCTCAAGAATATAAAAGTACCTGAAACACGTCCGAAATAGGAAACGATGACACAGCTGTAAATTGTTCCTAATATAAAATGATATCACGCTGTAAACCAATAATGTTTTAGTTTTTCGAAAAGCCTAATTAAAGTTGTAATCAAAAAATGTAAAATTGTATATTCATTTGTTTTGTGATGGGTTTCATGATGTGCGTCAAAGTTAAAATTAAAAATTCCACAAAAATGCATAAGGAATAAAGAGTAATATTAGATTAGCTGCTATATATAAACAAGTTGAACATGTGGCACATTAAAGAATTAGTTTCGACAATGTTAAACTAAGCTGACTTCCAGTAGCTCAGCTGATCAGATTTTGCTGAAATATTGATTTAGAGTTGGCAAAAGTCTAAAATTATTTTGAAATTTAAAGAACTTAAAATAAAAAAAAATAATATTAAAATTTTGACTTTGTAATTTTAGGTATAACAACCTTAAAATGACTTTAATTCCTAAAATTTCGATTCAAAACTCTCAACTTTCAGTAGCCACTTGGCAATGTCATAAAAAAGTTGTTATTTGCCCAAATCTGTGTTTTGGGCCGCCTTAAAAGTTATTTGGTGGCCAAAAGATAAAATATTAGAAAAAGCGAGATGTATCCATTCGACGACATTAAAGTTGGGCGCTTTGAAGTGGATGATGATTCATCGCATAAAAAATTAAATTTATGTCAGTTTTGAGATAAAGAAATAATCAAAAACATTTTGGCAGAGCAAAGTATTGGTCAAAAATGAGTAGTACTTTGGTCGAAAAGTTAATAGAAAAAGTAGCACTACACTGACATTACATTACACTGTGATACTATTTTTTTTATGATTAAACGATTACTATATTAGTCTAATAAATACTGTTAAATCTGCCAAATTGGACAAAAATAAGAGCCATTCAAGGAGGATTACTCAAAGTGGCTTAATATTTTCGAAAAGACATAGCCGGAGCAGGGTGGTTCGGGGTGACTCCCCCCCAGAGCCGATCCGAAAAAAAATCCACAGGTAGAGGTACCTGTACGCGGAAAAACGAAAAAAAAAATTTTTTTGAAAAATCGGTCCACCTGTGGACCAAAAAAAATTTTTCGACCTCCCCCCCCCCAGAGAAAAACCGTAGCGACGTCCCTGAGCCGGAGGTATTTTTTCACCCCTTACCTAAACTCATCACATTTGTCCCATTCCAATTCCCCTCCAACTCATTGTGATGACTAATCCCAGGGAACCCAAAAGAGAATAAAATCTTTTAAGAGTGCAATCAATGGTTTTTTAAGCCCAAGGTTTTGCGATTTCACAATTCCTTCAAGTAGGATTATGGCCTTGAGGAGTGGCGATGATATAGGTTAAGTTTTCTATGTGATTGTAAAGGTCTAATAGCATGAAAGGTCTAGTAACAAGTATTACGGATAATAACATTCCATGTAACGCTATTTTTCTTATTAAAAAATGAACATATAAGCTTAAATTTGATCAAAACTTATTAAAGCAAAGAATATAAAGTAAGGCAAGTTTACAAACAAAAAGCTTGTGAAAATTTTAAATTACGTGCCATTTTCGTATAAACAAAACAAAAAGTTTAGTATTAGAAAGTACGACTGAATTGCAATTAATTTGAAATAGTGTTAAGAGCGTCAGGTGTTATTGAAGACACTTGAACTAAGGATGGAACAACAACGTATTTACACGATTTTAATGAATCGAGTACGAACTTCGAGGTAAAAAATGGTTGTAATAAAGGAAAAGCTACTATAATATAAATTGAAAATGCAAAAATTTACAAAATTTGAAGTTTTTGGATTTTCAAGTGTGCAGAAAGTACTTTACAATTTGGGATACTACTATCGCTACAAGTATAAATATAAAAAAAGCATTTTTAAATAATAAAAATGTTAGTATCCCCACTTTTGACAAATAAAAACTTCATTTAAAAAATCAAAAGTTTAAGCCAAAAATCACAGAATCAAGCCCCAAATTTCCATACCAAAGATTACAATATCAAACCAAAAGAGTCAATCGTGAAAGCAGCAAAATTTTATTTATTTATTTGGGTCACTGGTCTCGCTCATTTTTCTTTTCCAAAAAACAAAAAATCCCTTTTCATTTGGCCGCTTTAATATTTTCGCGAATGGCCAGAAGAACTGGTCGGAGCGAATCTGTGCTGGCCGTTCCAATCTCTTAAAAGTTCTCGCAGAAAATATAACGGGAGAACGATCGTCACCGTTCCGGCAAAATTAAGTCCGTAAAACGATTACAGATAAGGGCGATGATGTTGTAGAGGGGTAGAGAGCAGAAGCAATCTAAAAAAAGTTTTTTAAACGGAATTTATATATTTTTAAAGGTTTTGAATTTTCAGAAAAGGTATGTTTAAAAAATTGAAGACTAGATATTATAAAAGTAAGATTTAAAAGATGACACATCAAACGAAATTTCAAAAATTTTTAAAACGTCCTATAAATAATGTTTAGAAACCAAGATGAGTCAAGCTGAAAACAAGTAATACACAATACTTAAAATTGTCATCATTTCGTCCATGATAACGTATAACATAATTTTAAATCTGCAACAAAACACAATTTCTTAAATTTTGTATCACGAAATAGTTTAGAAATACATAAAAGGTAAACTGAATAGTAAATAATAGCCATTGTAGACTTATCATGCAGTTCTGTAACATTGAAAAGATAAAACTTCACCTTACAATAAAAAACCAATTTGAAACTCCATTCTCTAATATCAAAAACCACAGTTAAAGTTTTGTTGAAACATTTACTCTGCGGTCAATATCTTTAACTTCGCAAAACAAATAGAATGTTTGACTAACTCGACAAACAAATAACTATGTACATACATAAAAAAACAGACACACAACAACACAACAGGCCGTTTAAGTAGCTAGAGAAGACTAAAGCGAAGTCGTAGAGATTGAGAAAATAAAAGTATGAGTAGTTGGAGTAAACTCAAATAAATGTTGTAAAAGTAACAAAACTCGATGATAGAAGAGAGTATCATATATATAAATATAATTACAGTAGACGTCAAATCTGAAGCAGAGGACCAACTAATAAAAGCCGCAAGTCAACAATAGCGTCGCAAAAGGTAAGCCTGATTACGCATAATTCCTTCTACAACCCAAGTTCTTGATGTATTCCTGACCTACTGCCCGCTCTCCGCTGTTTATGTTTACTATTGGCATCTGGCCTCTCCGCTTTCCCCATTCACTCTCGTCAGATAAGAAAATATTGTTTTAGTCTGACGCCGACTGAAGACCGGAGCTTGGTTTACGGTCCGGTGTCTGAAGTCTCCTCTGAAACGCGATGTCTTGCCATCGGAATGCTCTTGGACCCTGAGCGTTCGTTTCAAGGAGAGAAGGGGGGGGGGCTAAAAAAGAGAGGGGGGGGGGAGGGAATAAAGAAGAAGAAAGAGAGAAAGGATGAGGCAGAAAAATAGAAATAAGGGGTGAAAACTTAAAAAGAAGGGGTAGGGTAAGATAAATAAGGGGTAAAGAAAGGCAAAAGAGAAATCTGAGGAATGCTGACAGATTGGCAGATATGCGGTCAAATGAATTTCCAAGGTAATTTCACAGGAAATGATGTCATTCGAGAGCTGTTTTCGAGAGTTCTGAAATACAGACGTTTTGTTTTCGAAAGTAAGGCACAGGTAAGATTGGGTAAATAAGTAGTAATGAGGATTAGTTGAGCTGAAAGTCACTAATAATGCTGTACCAAAACAGTTATAATGGTGTAGTGGGTGTAAAACCAGCTTTGTATGACTTCTATTTACTTTATGATTTACTTTATTAAATTACTTTATCTAAAATATTTGAAAATATTTTAGTACATTATATAAGAAAACCTTTGCTAAAAGGTTAAAAGATAACAGTAAAATACAACACAATGTACAAAATATAATCAAATTTAACCAATAAAACTACCTATTCCCCAGTCAAAACCAAAAACAATACTGCCAAAAATAAAAAATCAAATTAGACGTTGAAATTCGAAAAAACATCTGTTTAGTGTATATAAAACAAAATGTCTAATAGCTGATTTCCAAATATTATAAACGTCAATGAGTCGTCTCATTATTCACCATTCCCTTCGAGACTCTCGAGGTTCGAAGCAGAAATAATTACAAAAATTTCCTTCAAAATGCTGTAAAATTACAATAACTGCGGCAGAATTGGGATGGAATCACGGGAAAGATCACGGTCCTTGTGCATACATTACGGC